ACAATTGAAGTCCTACCTCAAAGGCAACCGATACGACGGCGTCGAGGAGGTGCAACGTGTCACGACACGGGTGCTGAGGGACCTATCTTCAGGGGGCTTCAGGGGGTGCTTCCAATGGTGGATCCAACGGTGGCGCCGGTGCATCGAGCTAGAGGGAGACTACTGCGAAGGATTATAACTTAATTTTAAGAATTTATGTATATTCCGGACCGTCCGGGCACTTTTCCGGGAATATAATTGACAGACCTCGTAATGTGGAGTTAGTAATTACTTCCTTAACTTGTCTTTGATATAACTCGGTAGGATTGTGTGATACATTGGAATAGTTCTGGTTTAAGAAAATTGTGTGTTTTTGAAATATATTCTGGGAGATCGATAGCTAAGAATGTCTTCCCTTTATCTGCACGTGTAAATATTATGTTATTTTCAGAAGCTTTGTTTTTGAGAGTTTTTACTAGTGATATTTGATAAATTTATTTATATTTGTTGTTATCTATTAATTGAGAGTTTATTATATTCGCTAATACATGTTTGTTGAAATTAGAATCGTTAATGTCCTTAATTGCTAATTCACAATCGATCCCTAAACAGTTTAATTCTCTGCGAGTGCTGGAAGTTAAAGTTGAAACCTTTTTTTTCCAGAAATTCAACTTCATTTTTAGAAAATGTTGTGTCTGTTAAGTTTATGAACCTGTCGTAAAATTGATGGTCGATATACTTTGTAATAACTGGCTTGCTGTTAGATATTTTTGTATTAGAAAATATATAATTTCGTGAAAATGTGAACTTTTAGTTTTTATTTATATTGATTAGCTATCGAATACTTGAACAACTTAAAACTACAAAATTCTAGTCTTGAAGGTGTTTTTGTAAAAACCTTGGTAAAACCAAAAAAAAAGAAAAAAATTCTGAAAAAAAAAGCAATATTAGTAATTCTGGATTTTGTCAATAATAAACAACTGATTACTAATTTAAACCTAGTAAGTATATCGAGTAAATGTAGATACAGAAAAGAATAGATAGTTATAGAAAAGAATCATAAGAAAATAATTATTAGTTGTTCTTCAAATCAATTATACTATGGATTTCATCTCTACTTATTTCAGTTTTATAAATGTTTTTAATCTGATTTTAAATAACGAAAGTGTTCTACTATTAATCAATCTTATTATTTCTTGTGAAACTATGGCAGAGAGATAAGGGAAAAAAGATTGATAGTCGCTTAAATGCGATTGAGCGAGCTCATAGTACAAGGTCTTAAATTAACTCTAAAATTTTTGTAAAATATCTGAAAACTGATGTAAGTGATCTAAGTGTATTTTTAATATATTCGGAGTGATATTTAAATTTATTACAAGATTTGATGTCAATGCTACTGGAGTAAACTTGAAATTTAAGGGTTTCATATAATGGCAATTTGTTTTTGTGAAGTTTATGCTAAGTTTGTTATTGTTAAGCCATTTTATGTATTCTATAAAATTACGTCGTATTTGGTCTTTAAGGGCATTAATATAAATAATAAAAAGGAGTGGCCCAATGACAGTTCCTTGGGGAACTCCTCAGGTCAATTCTAAAGGATCGCTCAGCCATGGAGATTATAACAAAATGAGACATTCAAATGTATTGCTTAACGATCAATTAGATTTAAATACCTCTCTTTTATTAAACTTAAATTATCGCAACAACATTAATTAAGGTTATATTGTCATTTTTCGGTATATATGGTAGCAGACAGTTTGTAAAAATTACATTTGATAAAGACACGGTGTTGTCGAAACAATTGTCATGTGAAAATATATAATTTAGTGAAAATTTGAACTTTTAGTTCTTATTAATTTTGAAATTTTAAGGTATCATATAATGGCAATTTGGCAATAGCATAAAACAGTTTTTACGGAGTTTATGCTAAGTTTGTTGTTGTTGAGCCATTTTATGTATTCCATCAAATTACCTTGTATTTGGTCTTTAAGGACATTAATATAAATAATAAAAAAGAGTGGCGTAAGGATAGTTCCTTAGGGAACTCCGCAGGTCAATTCTAAAGGATCGCTAAGAACACCATTTCTTTCCACAGATTCGCTATGACAAATGTAATTTTTTAGTTATTCTAAATCTGCTCCTGAAAAACCAATATTTTTAAATGTTTTCATCAGCAATGAGTGAGAGATGGTACCAAATGCTTTTCCAAGATCAACGAAAACGAATTGGGACTTTTGTCTAATGTATGCTTTTGAAAGATTGCTGATCTGATAAAATACTATTAGATTCGCTGCTTTGATAAATTACTCAAATTATTGGCAGCGAATGTTAACAATGTTAATGCACTTATTTACAAAAGATTCTACACTAATATTTTATTTGGTAAAGGTGTAAGAATGATTTTTTTTATTGACGCGAATGAAAAAATATTGTGGATCAGCGTGTCAAATCATCATTCATTGGAGCCAATATACTACTTAAAAAACTGAGCAATCAGAATTTAAGATCATTGTACATAAAGGTGGTATTGACGTAATTAGAAACAAATTGTAAATGACATTAAAAAATAAGTAGGTGAAGATTATTTTTATCTTTTAGTTGACAAAACAACTGACTCACGTGGGAGATATAATGCACGCGCGTTGATTGGAGTCTTGAGGGAAACCAGCAAATCGAATTATTGTGGTAGTTCCTATTTAATTGCACCCAAATGATTTAAGTGTAACCAGATTTGTTCAAGAAAGATTAACGGACTTCTTTTACGGGATGTTGCACAAAATATGGTTAAGGTATCACAAAATTTAAAAATAGTTTATTCTAACTTATTTCATGTTACTTGTTTGGCTTATGGTATCAACAGGCAGAATGTATGGGACCAGTTTACATTGGTAAAAGATTTAATTAATCAATTAAAAATAATATATCTAAAAGTACCTTCCCGATAAGGAAAATTGTCCAAATACTCAATTACACCCACAGCAAGTAATAACTCGCTCAACTACTCATCTTCTGCAGCTCTAATAAATGCAAAACTTTTTTTCTAACTTATAGCTCTCAGAAAGAGGAGGCGAGGCCACCTTTGTTTCTTTGACAGTTTCAGTGGGTTTAATAATATAAGGTAGATTGCAAAATATTTCAGAGAGAACTGGATTTGTGTAAACTAGACAGATACTTACTTCCAAAACTAAAATACACAACTTTTGTAGATGTTGAGCGAAGTTTTTCTTTCCATTTTTAAGCATATGTTTATTGATAAAAGACACAACCTTCTTTTGGGAAATTTTGAAAAACATTTATTTACGAATGCTTTTTATAACTACAAATTATGGTTTGTTAATTTATGTGATATAAGTTAAAAATTATAGGACTTTTGAGAAACGGGTTGAATTTCGTATTACTAATACAATGCGTTTGACGATAGATAAAACAAAAGCCGTCGACTTTGATACTTGGTTATGAAGGTCAGTAACGAAATTGTTATATTTGGCTTTGTATATTCAAAGTTAAAATTATGGCGGATGCGCTAGTCGAGCGAAACCCCACAGACTAAATAACAATGTGACTGGCCATTGTTATTTAGTCTGTGGGGACCAGAATAGAAATGTTTTTGATAGATAGACCATATAGGTACTAGAAATATAAAGGCTCTACCGAATCCTAATAATACAGGAACGTATAAACCAACAATGAAAAAAAAACCTTGTTTTTAGCCAACATGGCCAATGACAGATCGCGAATTAGTATGGCTACTTCATCTTTACCGCAGTATGTTGTCAAACCATGTGGAAATTCCATTCAGGCAAGAAGTTTAGCATGTGGATATCGCTGTTTAGATAGGAAATGGCGGAAAATGCACATTAGTGAGTGAAATTTAAAGGCATGCATGAAAGATAATACCCATTTCTACGAAAATGTGATAATAGGTATATGTTTTAGAATGACCAACGACGGTAATGTCCAAATACCTTGGCAGCCTAGGAGTCCAGATTACACTCCTATTGATTTTTGTGTTTGGGGTAAATGAAGTCGCTAGTGTATGAAGAAGTAGTTCATACTTGAGATGCGATTGGACGAATAGAGAAATTATTTAAAATCAGACAGGCAGCCTTTAAATAAACATGTCTCCAAATGCATCACAGTAAATGGCAATCATTTTGAACATATATTGCTGACTAGAAATCTTTTTTTATGAATAGTTTTTGTATTATACTTTTGTTTAAAACTGAATTTGTATTTCCATTACCATTTTTGGGTCTCTTGCTGTAAATTTCTCAAAATAAATAATATTAAATACACTGTTAAGGTCTGTACTACCATATTAGCTCAGTGATATATTGGTTGTTTCAGAATTAATAGCATTAAAAATTGAAATTTTAAATATTACGTAATATATTGAAAAGCGATATAATTATTAAAAATCATGCAATGCACGAAATGTACCAACGTAGCGCCCTCTACATTTGGCCCCAAAATTATTCACGAAAATTGACTTCTTATGTCAAAAAACCACGATATGCCAAATTTTGCACAAAAAACTTGATAATTTTAGGGAATTATTAAAAAAAAATGTATCTCGGTTAATATCAAAGAATCTCCTATTTTGCCATGCACCATTACTTATGGGACATTCTGTCTATAAGTATTTATACTATTATAATTCAAAGAGAAAAGGTACAATTCGGCAATAGACTCAAGTCAAACATTTACAGCTTTCTGGAAATAATATCGCGGAATTTTGTAGTTTTGATTTATTGATTACCAAAAACTTTATATCCTGGATATCCAGAATGGGACCAATGATGGGGGGCCTCGAACTAGTATATACTACCCTCTGCCTTTTACATTTAGAGAAAATGCGTTGTTGTTCTACCTACTTCTGATTTGGAGGTTATGGTAATGGGCCTAATGGCTTGAGGTTCTAACAATAAAAACCTTAAGTATTTGCTAGTGCTGCTAGTATTTTTATTCATTTGACTTGCTGACTTTTAGCAAAGATTTTCTTTTAGGGGCGAAGAAAACAACAGATAAGTGATGTAAATCATTTAATAAAATACTCGGCGACATCGGCACCAGATATAACAAATTAATATTAATATTTATATAAGATTCAAAATATAGAGAAATTAATAAATTAATCTTTGGTATTAGCTCAGGTCAGATCTAAATTTGTATAGTCCAGTCAGAGCAATTACGTAGTAACATGACATATCTAGTGGATTTCGCAAATTGGCACAGGAATTTCGTTTGTCAGTTTTCTAAAAATGGTAGCAATATAGCTAAGACATATAGATCATTTTGGGTTACGTCACTGCACAACTGCTCTGACTGGATTTTAGCGTACGGTCAAAAACGACTGAGTAGATTTGGCGTATTATCTAATATCCGCGTTTTTACAATTTCAAGTCTAAACCTAATCTCGCCAGATTTATATTCTTTCGTAGACGGACGATTTCCCAATAGACGTCGTGGACTGCAATTAAAGTAGGTTTCTAAAATAGGTTTGGTAAAGTGTGTGCCGAAGTATATCGTCTTGGTTTTTGACGCACCATCCCTCAAAAAGTAACTACGACCTTTACGTTCGTCGAAGCACATTTTAAAAATTTAAAATTCCTTAATACATAATAACATTGAACATATTTCAAGCACAATGATATAATAAATCACAGATAAACTATCTTTTCAAAAGTCTTCGGTTTGTTTTAATAATTTATGTAAGTTTTAATTTAATAATTTATGCCATGCACCTGTGCAGGGGGCAGAAATCTTCTAAAGACGAAGAGAATCTTGCAATCAGCTGTTTTTAATGTTTGGTCCCATCTGACATTTTAGATTTGTTCTGATGTTTTTTCTCCATAAAATAGGGTTAAGTGTATAAGGTGTTTTCTGGACTAAAATGTGTAGAAGCTGCAGCGCTTAGCTGCTATTTAACAATCGAAAACCAATTCATCTATTTACTGAATATAACCTTACGGCTTTTTGGCAATTGGAAAGAGTTATAGTAGTCTCATGTACAGCTGTATTAGATATTCAATATTCCATGCACAAATGAGTGGACCACCAAAAACTGGCAGACTATGTCAGAAATCATCTAAAGTTAATATAGAGCTTAAAACTGAAGCGAAAAAATCTGCTGCTATGGATTTTTTTATATAAAGCTTTTAGATTTCTTAATAGATCACTATGGAACAAGTGCTGTAAACGGCAATTGACTCATGAGTTTATTTGACAAGAGCGGAGCGAGTGTTTAATAAACGAGTGAGTAAAAAAGTTTTTCTAATCCCGCCTGTAAAATACCTAATTACCGACCGATCTAGCGGGCGGGAAGCTTCACTTTACCACGTCAGTTTCGTTTTTTTTAATTCACTCGTTTATTAAAAACTCGCTCCGCTCGTGTCAAATAAACTTGTGAGTCAAATGCCGTTTACCTCACTTGTTGCATAATATACTAATTTTCTACTCCCGTCTGTAAAATGCATAATTACACACCAATCTAGAGCGAGGAAAGCGACAATTTACCATGTCAGTTTTGTTTCCTACGGATCCGAGCCACTTCGGACATTTCCGGGATTTTACCGCACTGGTTTGGGAGCAATCGGATGATTTCGGAGATATTTCCCACGCTTTGAATTTTGACGTTTGTCAATTCTGACGGTCACGTCAGTGAATGCATTCTTGTTGTTTTGCGAAAATATACCCAAAAACTAACAGTCGTAGAAAAAGTATAGTATGTAACACGTTCGGTAAACTTTTTAAGTCGCTCGTTAATTAAACACTCACTCCGCTCGTGTCAAATAAACTCGTGAGTCAAATGCCGTTTACCGCATTTGTTGCATAATATACTATTACCGAACGTGTTGCATACTATACTTTTTCTACGACCGTTAGTTTTTGGGTACATTTTCTCAAAACAAGGCGAATACATTCACTGACGTGGCCGACAGAATTGACAAACTTCGAAATTCAAAGCGTGAAAATATATAACTTCGTGAAAATCTGAACTTTTAGTTCTTATTTATTTTGAAAAAAAAATCTAGTATAAAAAAATAGAAGAGTAGGCAGATAAGTAGGGAAAATAATAATCCGAGTACACTGTACTCGCGAAAAGACATATATACGAGTACAAAGGGTCCCGGAGCAAAAAATATTCTTCACGAAAGTCTTATTGATCCACAAAAAATTCTCTTATAATCAAGAGTTTACGAATACGATGATCGATATATATAAAAGGTTTTCTAGAAAGCAAAAAATATCCAAATTACAAAGACATTGTAGAAAACAGAACTTTAGGGAAATGATATATAATATGCTCATGCTAGACATTTTACACTCACCTCTAAACTACGTTCCTGAATATATTGGTGTCGTGAATAAGAAATAAGGTTCCACCAAGATATCAAAGAAATGGAACGCAAATAGCGAGGCATAAAGAACGTTGGAATGATGGCAGATTACTGCCGATAATTAAAAATTTTACAATCCAAGACAAGAATATCCACTAAACGGAGTTTTTCGGTCAAAAACATATGCGCCTAACTATTGCTTGAGACTTTGTTATTTAATTTAGATTTATGAATTCGGATTTTATTCTTTTCTTCTTTCTATTCTTTTAATTTTGATCAGTGTATATTTGTCAACGTATTTTCTATTAGTTTCTTTCAGTACTAATGTGATGTTATTACACCTAAATTAAAGCAATATAATATACAATCTTAATGTGAAAACTCCCCATAGCGGAACTCTGTATAACTATTACGAATAAAATTTGTTCTACCATACAAAACTATGTATTAATCCACTCTGTATAACGAATTTCTCTCTCTCTCTATACCGAAAGAAAAAAGGGTCGATCAGGTAACAAAGTAAGGAATGTAGCCCAACTGGACTTAGCGAATACGGCGAGCATGGCGAGTAAGCTAAAAATTTTATCTCTACATGATAAAGTTGCTTCAATTCGCGAGATAGAACGGGGAGAAAAGAAAAGTGACGTGGGACGTCGATACGGACTTACACCGTCGACTGTATCCACGATTTAGAAGTGCAAAAAAAAATCAATCAGGCTAAAACTAAGAAAGCCAAAATTTGAAGATTTGGATCGGGCAATCGGGCAGTGCTTCCAACGTCTTAAAAATATACCACTCTCTGGACCTATCGTAAAACTAAAAGCAGTTTGCTGAACAGCTTGGCATTATCGATTTCAAGGCTTCGGAAGGATGGTTGGGGAAGTTCAAACAGAGACATGTTATAAATTATGGACACATAAGTGGCGAAGCCCGTGATGTCGACAGAAACGTCACTAACAATTGGCTGTAGAAGACGTGGCCAAAACTAGCAGAAAAGTACCCTGCTGACGACATTTTTAATGCTGACGAAACTAGTATTTTTTACAAAATGACGCCATATAAAACTCTTAAATTTTGAAGCAGTGTCGGTGGAAAACTTTCTAAAGAACGTATAGCAGTGTTAGTAGCTGCCAATATGAGTGAGAGAGGAAAAAGGAAGCTAGTCGTGATTGGAAAATCAACTAACCTATGATGTTTTAAGAACGTTAAGCATTTGCCGGTCACTTACAAGGCAAACAAGTTTGCATGGATGACATCGCAAATTTCTAAATATTCCAAATCTACGGAATATTGAATTGGCATTTCTTCCAGCCAAACCAACAAGTGTATTACAGCCGATGGACCAGAGCGTAGTAAAAAGTCTTAAGAGTCGATACAGTTAAAACATTTTAATGGAAATGATCGAGTCTGAAGACAAATTTTCCATTAATATGCTAGATGCAGTCAACTTTAATAGTAAAGCTTGGGAAGAGGTGACAACAGAAACAATTCAACAGCTAAGCGAGTGGATAAAGCAGTATCAAACAACAATTACGTTTACAAGTGAGGAGTTGCAAGATTTTATGGTGATTGATCAGAATTTGTCTACCACAGGAGGCTTGACAGAGGAAGCCATATTAAAACAAGCAAGAAAGGGCGAGGAAGAGCACTAAGTTGATCTGGAACCACCACCAACCATTCAACAAGCCCTATATTCAGTTAAGCTGCTAAAGAAAATTTTTATGTATCATGGGGAAGATGCCCCTCTCAAGGAAATGATGAAAGTACAAGCCAAAGTACGAGATGCGTATTGGCATACTAAAAAAATTCTTAGTTCTTAAATATTTATATAAGATGTTCCTAAGTAAATGTTAAAATATTTATATAAAACAATTCAAGTTCCTATAACTCTTTATAACGAAAAAAAAAGCAGTCCCTTCAATTTCGCTACATAGAGTTTCGACTGTATTTTTAAAGCACCTGAAAAGTCCGTCCCAAGACGATATACTTAGAGGCAAAGTGTGTATAAAAAAATGTAACTTACCAGAACTTTTCACCAAACCTCGTTCAATGTATTTTAGGTAATTTAAAAAATCACAGACGGCGATAATCTGAAAGAAACAACCGTTTATGAGCGATCTGTTGCTATCGCTGAGCAATGACAGCGTAGATTTCGAAAGGCTCACCCTGTTCCTGCATAACTGCGAGATGCTATACCAATCGTCCGCTTCCCCGATATTCATTCTATAGAAGCACAGCCTTTGCACTTGGAGCAAAGCGCATTTTCTAAAAAAAAATTGCTAAAGCGAATAGAAGTGCTAATTGTGACTACTATTCAGTAGTAACAGATAATTTAAAACTAACAAGCGGCAAGTATGAAACGTATGACCTGTGGAAGAACAGCAGAAAAGCGATTAAGTTGCAAAAACGACCGCTAGATGGCGCCGCATTAGTGACAAATAAGAAATTTTGCCAATTATTTTTCTGATGACGTCTAATTGATAATAAAAGTAATCTTTAATAAGAAAACATGTTCGTTTTAATTTATAGCGTTTATGATATTTGTCTCTATTTTGGCAAAACAACCTAACTATCGATAAAACCGAAAAAAAAAGCATAATTTTAACTTGGGGAATTTCCATGATTTTTGAAACACCTTGTATATATAAATTGTAACTTATACCTTCGGCTTATGCGATTATTTGTTGTTTACAATCATTTTCGTAAACTTTTATTTGCTTATTGCAAAGTAAACACACATTATTTTTCTCTCATCGAAATTTTTCTAAAATTTCACTTACTTCGGAAACATTGCCTTTGCCTTGTCACTGACCGCCTCTATGAGCATTTTGCCCGATTCTATTGCCAGCATCACCTTCTCGCCCAGGTCTTTATTAGAAAAATTCAAACACGTATTGATGTCTTCAATATAAGCACGGTGAATGAACGGCTGGGTTTTGTCCAGGACCGGATTTTGCCGCCACAACAGGAACTCTTTGTGGAACACGGGATCAACCTGACGAATTTATTGCACGTCCTTAATTGGTAAGAAATTCTAACTGGCTTTTTATTAATATCTTTAATAACCGTTATGCGGATTTCTAGGAACTCCAAAGTGGTATTACAGATATTAAAAAAATATATATTTTATTTTTGAAAATGTTACCATGGATCCAATAGTAAGTCATGTTAGAAAAATTCGAAATCGTAATATTTTCCGAAATATGGCTTGTCAAAATTCAATTTTTTCAATTTTATTTTGAACTCGGTGGGCTTCATTCCCAACGGAATGAGTTGGTATTTTAACCACAGCCCTGATTTACTAGAAGTCATCGATGCAAAATAAAAGTGTTTCAGAAATCTGTCGCTCGAGGGCACTTTACCTAGAACATTCTATTTTCCCTCTATTTTATTTATTTAGACTGATATTGTAAAACAGAATACATTGCCTTAAGTAGAATCACAAATCTTCAAAAATTCTTACTCTTGTTTTAAGCCGATAAGTGTTATCAGTGATAATTTAAAATAATAATACACAATATTATTATAAAACAAATTTTATTATTATTTATGTTATTTTATTATAATTATTATTAATTTTTTATATTTTTTTAGCAATGTTATAAAGAATACTATCAATTTTTTTAATTATTTTTACCAAACAGCGTAAATTTATAAAAAAATAATCAACTTTACATTTTTAAAACTGTTATGGTCTATATTTATTTTTTCTAGTAATTATTATTTTTAAATTTAAAAAAAAATTGAAATATTACGATTTTCATTTGTTTTTCGCGTATCCTAGTAAATAACAAAATAATTTTAGAAGTCATTCCTGTCTATTCGTGACATAAGTTTATACGCAAAACATGAAATAATTATTAAAAATAAAAGCTGAAGTTTTTTTGAGTTGTGTTTTTTAGTTAATATTTTAGTGTTATAATTTTTAATATTTTCTGCGATTTAAAATGGACCGAGTGAATTATAAAATTATGTGATTAAAAAATTAGTTTTAATTATTATTTAAATATAATTTTGCCAATATTGTTAATCATAAAAATCATTTTGGTGTTGATACTAATTGCACTTTTTTCGCTACATCTTATGGCAAAGGAGCGTATGATGGAGTGTAAAAAGACAAGCTTAGTGCTAGTCTCCAACGTGATAAAAACAACCACATAACAACCCCACATTCCTTTTTTCAGTGGGCCCAAAGTTCTTTTAAAAAAAATACCAACCACGATTCGAACGCTTAACTACAATAAAAAATACTCGCCAATTTCATTATTATAAACCAAAATTTTTCACTAGAATACAGGCTCGTTTCAGAGGATGAAAAAGTATTTATTTTAAAAAAATAAGTTTACAAAAAAAAATAATAAAAATAAATGACGACAAATTTACAACTTAATTATTTAAGCTTGTTTGTTCTATTCAGTATGTTATGATTGTTAATATTGTTAAAAAAAATAAAATTTTATTAATAATAATTATAATAAAATAACATAAATAATAATGAAATTTGTTTTATAATAATATTTTGTATTATTATTTTAAATTATCACTGATAAAACCTTTAATGCAGTTCCAGGCGCTCGGCAGCGCGGCGCTTCTACAGCGCTGGGCGCCCGGCGCGCTGTCATAAATAAATTCATTTTGTTGAAAGTAATGAAGAGCAGTGAAATTTTCTTCCGGAATCTGAAACTTAAATGTGTAAAGCATGTGATCGATAAAAAAACATGATTTTTTTACCAAGAAATCAGTTAAATTTTCATTTGTTAACTTAAAAGTTAGTTAATGAATACGAAAATAAACAAACAATTTTAAGTCGTTAATATATTCTTAAAGTATAGACATTTTATCTCTTACGGTTGATTTTTAATCCATTTTTTAATTAAAAGCGCTTAAAATTTTCATTATAAAAAAAAATTTTAAATCAAAATTTTAAAAAATTGTTTCAGGGATCAATTTTCCATCATAAGTACTTATAAAAAATATATATAGATTAAATTTCCATATCCGATATCCAGTGTATCCCCTTTCTGTAAATTACAATTACAATTCTTTTTCAAAATGCTCACGGTTCATTTACCAATATAAAATGGAGTGGAGCGCCATCTTGTATCAACCACATGTGTTGTCTCTACTGCAAGGGGACTTCTTCCAGCTAAGGTGGAGAAATTGCAAAAACATTTCAACATTCAGCGATCCGTTAAAGAAATGAGGGTGTATAAGATTATCTCCAATAATCAATGTCCATACATTTAAATAAAACCGGCGCCGATGATTTCCTTAAATTTTTCCATGTGGGTTATCAATGTTCCACCGATGTATATTTCGAAATTCGAATTCGAAAGCAGCAGAATTGCTGGTAATTTTGAATTTTCACTAAAATTTGATTGCATAAAAATATTCTCAACTGCTCATCACCCTTTTACAGTACTGGAACATTTTGAAAAAGTCGATAATCATTTTCATGCAAAACTTCAAAAACTGTAGACCAAGCAATTCTTGACTCGTTGACATTTTGGAGTATTCTTTCTTCTCTTACATCGGGTCTCTTAAATTTTGGTCTCCATGAATGTCTTTGCAGATTGAACGTTTCTATTGAGATAAGCCTCGATATAAAGCCGTCGTGCTTGATCGGCATTTCCAATTGCTCTTTCGTAGTAAAAATGCATATCGTGATATTTCAATATTGGGCCATCACAGTAGCAGTGGGATAATAAACCCCTTTAATAGAAACTAATTTTTAACGGATTGTAATAATGACTTTTTCAAATGTCATTAATTCCTGTTGGGTAAAATTACATTTACGAGCAAAATTTCAGCATAGAATAAAAAATCGATTTGTGGCTGTTCTATTTTGCAATATTAGTCTAAACAAATAAAACACAGGGAAAAAATATTCTAGGTAAAGTGCCCTCTAGCGACGGATTTCTCAAACACTTTTATTTTGCTTCGATGGCTTTTATTAAATAAGGGCTGTGTGTATAGTTTCGTTCAATTTAGTTCGCATAGCGTAGACATAAAAATCCTCCGGTCTCCTTTAATATTGTTTAGAAAGAAAAGAAAGTGAATTTAATTTGTTAATGAATTCCACTCGCCTCCAAGCCTTCGCTGCTTTCCAATTCGCAGCCGATGCCCATCGAGAGCGTCGAATTTTTGACGGGCGTGTCCGGAGGCGAATTCTCACGGCCGTACTTCAAGTTGAAATGCGAAGGCGATCGCCGATGTTTTTTCGTGAATATCGCCACACCTGTAAATCACAACGGAACGTTGTATTAGTGCCTGCGTCTATACGGGGTCTCCCAATAGGGTGTCAACGTAATATATCTCTTTACTTTTTATCAAACTTCTGGATTACTCCTGAGTCGAACTGGCTGACGTTTCGCCAATAATCCTGTTGGCTTCTTCAGAGCTGTTTAATATTTAAAAAATTTTACTGTGTCTGTGGTACGAAGAGAGAAGCGGGATTATTTAAAGGCTATTTGTGGAGAAAAAAAAATCCAAAAAAGACTTGGAAATCTTTAAGATCACTCAACATATGTTCCAGTAAGAAATCTGATATTCCAATTAACTTGGCAAATCCAAATCAAATTAGTGCATATTTCGGCAAAATTCTACAAGTGTCTCTGACTGTGATACCAAAGTTCATTTTTATAAAAATAATAGTTATTTGAATGATAATGCTCAATTTTCTTTTCATATGGCAGAAATTTCGAATATTCACAAAATAATTCAATACATACGCACTGATGCCGCAGGCGAGGATAATATAAATATTAATATAGATAAAAAATCCAACAAATTATAATGATCTTAGAATTATCAGCATTTTACCGGTTCTCTTTCTTGAAAAAGTTTTATACAAACAGCTATTTAATTATTGCATTGTTAATAATGTCATACCCGAGTGTCAATGTGGATTTAGGCAAGATTTCAGTGCTTCGGTTGCTTTGGTTGGTTTAACGGAATTTTAATAGAATTCAAAAAGTGCAATATACATGTTTACGCCTTATTTTAGGACTAAGAAAATATGACCATATCTCGCACACATTTAAAGAGCTTAATTGGTTGAAAATGGAGAATCGCAGAGCACTTCATTTGGGTAATTTTGCAATGAAGGTCCTGACGAACCCTGTGCTACCTTTATCTTTAAGTAATAGCGGAGCTAAATGAGGGGCATAAACACCGTCTCGGATGTCTGATTCCCATATTGTTGACCTGAGTCGCGGTTAAGATTGTTAGGTGGTTTCTAGATTTCTATAGACTCTCGGATTTTTCGTTGGTAGAAGAATTGATTACATACAAGAATTTTAGTTTTATCGAATAAAATTTTATGTGCGGTTTTGTGATTGTGTTCGGCAACAGCTGATGAGTTCATTTATCTTAGTCGTGAGACTCTTTCGTGTTCTTTGAGCCTAGTTGATATTTTTCGTCCGGTTTCTCCACTGTATTCTTTGCCGCATATGCAGGCAATGCGCAGACTCCTGGCATCTCAAACAGAATTTTGTCTTTGACGGACCGAAGATGTTGAGAGATTTTTGGACAAGTGATAAATCTGCTTTTGATGTTATACTTATTTAGAACTTTTGACATGTGGTCAGTAATATTTTGAATGTAAGGAAGGACCACAGTGGCAAGGGTAGGGATTGCTTTCGGCCTCATTGCTATTGGAATGTTGTAGTGAAGTGTATTTTTTGATCGAACGCTTATTATTATTAGAGAGAAGAGCAGAGTTAAGGTGTTTTAATTCTGGGTTCAATGACCCGGGCTGGGGTAGTTTTACGGTTCTGTAAACAAGAGAGTTGATAACCGATGATTTTTGGGCCGGATGGTGATGTCACCATGCATTAAGGTACCGGTGTGCGTGCGTAGGTTTTCTATAAACCCAGGTCTGATTTTCTATTGATAAGAATATCCAAGAATGGAAGGTTATTATTAGTTTCTAACTCAATGGTAAAACGTATGTTAGGGTGTATAGAGTTTAAATATCTAAGAAAATCTACTAGGGTTTCTTGACCATGAGACCAAATAACAAAAGTATCATCGACGTAGCGTTTCCAGAATTTTGGTTTTAGTTGAAAGCTTTCTTCTCAAAGGCTTCCATAAATATATTCGCGATGACTGGTGATAGTGAAGAACCCATAATAGCTGTTCGCGACGTTTGTTCAAAAATTTGAAAGTTATAAGAAAAATATGTTTCCGACAAGCATTTTTCAGTTAAGGTGAGAAGGTTACGTTTCAGATTCACGGATTTTAATATATCTGAAATGATGTCGAGAGTTTCAGGAATAGGAAATTTGGTAAAGAGAGACTCTACGTCGAAACTAACTAGAATATCTTGTGCAATGTAATGCTTTATAATTGTTCAATGAAGTGAAAGGAATTAAGTACGACACTATCAGTCTTCCCTGTAAGAGGTTTTAATAATGAAGCTAGATATTTTGCTAGAGAATATGTTGAAGAACCAATGGTGCTGACAATAGGTCGAAGGAGTAATGCTAGTTTGTGGATCTTTGGGAGTCCGTAGAGACCAGGAATTTTAGAATTATGGGGAGTGGCAGATTTTTTCACTGAGCCTGATAGAGAAAAAGCCTTAATAACAGATTTAAGGTTACGATCCATAGATGATGTAGGATCTTTTTTTAGTTGACGATATGATCCGTCTGTAAGAATATCTTGAATTTTTTCCTGATATTCGCTTGTGTCCATGACTACCGAGTGAGACAAATAAACTCATCAGCTATTGCCGAACACAATCACGAAACCGCACATAACATTTTATTCGATAAAACTAAAATTTCTGGAAGGAAATCAATTCTTCTACCAACGAAAAATCCGAGAGTCTATAGAAATCTATAAACAACGTAACGATTTTAACCGCGACTCAGGTCATTTAGCTCCGCCCTCCTCAAACAAACAGTTTCAGTCAAGCTCTGAAGAAGCCAACAGGATGATTGGCGAAACGTCAGCAAGTTCGACTCAGCAAAAACCGACGCAGGAGGAATCCAGGAGTTTTGTATAAAGTATTACAGTAGCCTGTGGAACTTTTTTTGAAAAAAAATCTCTTTTATTATTTGTTTTAGACATATAGCCATAAGATAATATTGTATAGCTACGAGACATACAGTGGACCTTCCTATGCTGACAGTACAGGAACTCATGAAGCAACTACGTAAATTTTTCATTCAACTTGCGCATGCGCGAGATTTAAAATTTCGTTTTTAACCAATGGCAGCTCTAATGCCAAATTCTGACGTAGGACCCATAAGATCTTGCGACTTTCATCAAACAACATGGCCGCTGACAGATCGTCCATGTTTGGATGCGTCATTTTTACGGCGGTATTTTCTCAAAATATGTCGAAACCTTATTAAATGTTCAGGCAAAAAAGGAGTTAAGGTGTGTAAAATCAGTGCAGGATTGCAACACCCGCATGGGCGTCAGTATACTTCCGTAATTAATCTGGCATTTTTGTTCTTTAAGCCCTGTAGATACGATACAATTCCTATTTTTTTGATGTAAGTTATTTTTTCTGATTTTTTTTTGCTTGTAAATCGGCGCAAAGAGTTAGTTTTCATAAACTTCTAGGTTGATATAACTTTGTGGTTCTAGACATCTCACAAGTGGGAAAAATGTCCAAGAAGCACTTCCTATAGAGTGTAGTTGACAATGGGTGTTTCTTATGCTTGTTCTAGTAAAAATTCAACTTGTAACTTAATTGTAGTTTTATATTTCCTATAATTCTTGTACATTAAAGCATATTCCCAAAACATTCTTAGTAGCTATTTAAGTGTACCTAAAAATGTAGGAAATTCTGTTTAGCAATTTCTGTAAATCTATTTTCCGGTTAGTTAAATGTAAAATATATAGGAATCACTGTTTCTCTAAGATCCTATTAGGTCCTCATATTTGCCGTAATTTTTCTGGAAAATTGATTAATGAAGAATGAGAATCGTCCGACGTTACGTGTTCTCAAACCTGTTGTATGGAGTAAAATCTTGGACTTCTTTTAAATATTTATCTTAGGCTGCAAAAAAAATTGAAGTCTTGCGTCAAATAGTTATTTATTGACAGCATTTTAAACAAGACGTGTCCGAAAAAATGTCGCAAATAACGCAAATTAAGTATAGAGAAGTCATAAAGTTTTTGACAAAAGAAGGGTTAGCACGTAAAATTATTAAAGAAAGGCTATATGGTGTGTACGGTCAAAGTTCTCCTTCGTATTCTGTAGTGAAAGAATGGGCAAAACGTTTTCGAATGGGGCAGGAGTCCCTTGAAGATGATTCAGGAACTGGTCGACCAGTGGAGGTCATAACGGAAGATATTGTGGCGATTGTGGAAGAGGTGGTATTGAGTGATCGACGTTTAAAGGTCAAAGAAATCTCAGAAATTACTAAGCTTCCTGATACAAGTGTTCGTCGAATCCTGCATGATCATTTAGGTATGCATAAGGTTGGTGCCAGATGGGTTCCTAAAAACCGTTCGGCTATTCAAAAACAACGCCATATCGAGAGTGCGCGGTCTTTGTGGAACTCTGTGAGTCGGAACCGAAGCCTGTGATAGAAACTATTGTGACGGGAGAACAAACTATGGTTCTCTATTATGACCCTCTATCTAAAAAAGAATCAATGGAGTGGCGTCGTAAGGGTGAAGCACCTCCAAGAAAATTCAGAGTCTGCCGGTCAACAAAAAAGAAGGAAGGAAGGAATCCTTTTGATAGATTTTAAGGAAACTAATACCAATGTCAATGATAAATATTATGCAACATTATTACGTAAATTGCGATACTGCATTCGTGTAAAACGTCGAGGAAAACTGACCAGAGGCTTGCGTCTTTTGCACGATAATGCACCTATCCATACTGCTGGTGTTGCACAAGCTGCCATTTTGTGTGTGGGTTAAAACAGATAGATCATCCTCCCTATAGCCCAGATATAGCCCCCAGCGACTATTATTTGTTTGGATATTTGAAAAGGGACTGGCGATTTAACGACGAATTTGAGTTAAGAGAGGCTGTTTTAGCTCAATTTGCAGACAAACCAAAAGAATATTTTTTTAAAGGGAGTGAGTTGTTAATAAAGAAATGTAATAAGTGTATTGAAGTTGAGGGAAATTATATTGAAAAATAATTAAAAAATGTTACTCTACTTTGTTTCTTTCATATTCAGGCCGGGAAATTTTGGCGCTGCCCTCGTAGAAGTTATGAAAAAAAAAAGAAATCATATTATGAGACACCCTGAAACATACAACATCCAACGTTTGATCATTCTTTGTTAGGAAGAGCACTGTTTTCTTGTAAATTATGTTTAAGATCCATTTTTGAATTGTTTCTAATCGATCCATTAGATAAAGATATGCACCTTTCAAGGCTGTTATACTATATCTAATATGGCCAACAAGTGCATGATAGAGCAGTTTTAATTGTGCCTCGTTTAAATCGAAGACAAGAAGGACAACCCACTTTAAGTGACTATCCAGATATATATACCTAGATATTTTACATGTTATTTTGATTTTATTTAGACAAAGGTTTATTTAGATGTAAAGGTTAAGAAAAATGTTTTTCACAATGTACCAAACCAACTGAATACAGTTTTAAGTATCAATATAGATATTAAAGAGTATGGGGTTCCTTGAGGAACTCCATACTTTATCAATTGGAATTGGTTCGTAACATTTTGAATTTGGACACATTGTTTTCGATTATTAAAGTAACTTTATAACTGACATGGAATGCCTCTAGATAGATATGTTGCTTCTTCTTCTTTATAATAAAGGTAATTTATTATTATATGAAATTGACATTTGGCAACGCTGGCCGACTGAAGTCGCTCAATACACTTGTGCCCTTACCTCCGTCATCTTTTGAAATTTGGGGATGCAAATGAGGATTCGGAGAACTGGGCGTAGAGGTCAGCACCAAAGTCTTTAGAGCAGCTACTTCGGCAGTGAGAACATCAACTTTGAGTTGACTTTCTTTCAACGATTTCTCCGCAGCCGCTTGCTTTTCGTTGGCCTCCCGCACCATGTTGTGAGCTTCCTGAAAACAATAAGCTAATTTCCAAATTCACATTCATAAGTTCATTATTACATTAGATCAAGTTACGAAAAAATGGTAAATAAAAAAGTTGTGAAGATTGTTAGGACGTACAGATATTTTTAAGTATGCAGGGTGGCTCTCAAAAATTCCACGAAGAGAACTTACATTTTTTAAATAGAACACAAATTCCTCAACTTTTGTATTAATAATAATTCATTCCTAAACATAATACTTTTTCCAATACTTTAATTTTTTTTAAAACATGCTAGTTTTCACAGTCCCAAAAAAATTACGATAGGGTCATTATTTTTAAAGATAGATCACTAAAATTTGGTATAAGCGTTATTAAAAGATGATATAAAATCACATATACAACAAAATTTGAATTAGATGCTACAAGGTGCAGGGTGAAATAAACAAATATATATGGATCATTTTAAATTTAAAAATCTCGATTTTCTTAACTGACACACAATATATATTATTATTTAATCTGAAAAGTCTTACAAAAATTATTTTTAATTTTAATTTTAAGATTGAAAAATGAACAAGGGAAATAACTTTGTTGGGGCTGTAGATAAAGCAAGAGACAGTTATCAGCGACTTAAATTATAAAAAAAGTTTATAATATTAAACTGCTTTTACTACAAAAACCAAATATGTTTGTTTATTTTGATCACCTTATAGCATCTATCTCAACTTGAATACCATCTAGCAACTATTAGCTCTGTTAAGATTAAAAAATGTACAGAAGAAAGAATTTCATTGGACATTGTAGATAAAGCAACAAACAGTTGATAGCAATTTAATTAATAAAAAAAGTATATATCCTATAGCCTATATCTTTTATGTCATCTACGAATGACGCTAATATCAAATATGGGCGATGTACCTACAAAAATAATGGCGTTATTGCAATTTTTTTGCAAATGTAAAAACTAGAAAGTTTATGTATGTCTTATTATTAATAAAAAAAGTTGAAGAATTTTAAAAGGAATTCAAGACAAACTTTAAAAATAGAATGTCCTATTTAAAAATACTTGTTTCGTCACGCCCTTTTGAGCCACCCTGTAACAAAATAATAATAATTGTACATCCTAACAATTTTTATAACTTCTACGTTTACTATTTTCCGATAACCTGGACTCACCCTGTACACGAACTAACACTATAGAAACAATTTTCGATAGGAAACACTTCAATATTTGTTTTTGAACACCCCAAAAGCCTATCTGGAAGCATATTGTTCAAGTTAATGTTTAAAGAATTTTTGTTTGATGTAACAAGTCTGTGTTTCGGAACTCTTATAAGATTTTTTGCGCGTGTTGAATAACTATGAGACACACCTTCAAATATCCTAGTATATTTATGAATTTCTAAAAGATTATGGAGAACATAGATACAGGACAGTGTCATTATCTTGTATTTTTTAAAATATGGAGTGCAGTGTTCATTGTGCTTAGCCCCAGCAAGCCCTTTTCTGTATCCGGAATATTTGAAGAGCATTGACAGAGTTTCCCCATAATATTGTGCCATATGATATGAGGGAATGAAATAAAGCATAATACACTGTCATTAGGGCATTTTGAATTTGTAGTTCAAGGCTACTTTTAAAATTCAAAACGACAGCTTGTCCAACTGTCAACTATGATCTTTGCGATTGTTTTGAGATACTTTTCGTTGGTTTTAAGTTTTTTTGTTTAATTTACTTGTGGCAATTTTAATTATTTTATGATGCCCTATGACAAATTTGAAATTCTCAGGTTCACCAGAGAAAATTTGCTAATATTTTTGATATTCAACAATACGTATTACGTGAATTTTTTTTCGGTGTGTCAGTGTGTACAGTGTGTCCCACTGAAGAACTGTACCCCTTGTAAAATCTTTGTTTATGCTTCCAATTTGATAATGTTTTCGATCTGAAGTTATAGCCAACTGTCAAAGGGTCAACTAATCATCAAAATCAAAGGTGGGAAGTTTTTAAGTGGGGCACATCGCGTGCATAAAAATTGTTTTATTGCATACAGTTTACCTACGCCCATGACCGACGCCCGAATTGAGCGAAAATGAACAGAATTTCCAATTTTCTTCCTCTATTTTCCGAAATAGAAAATATAGTAGTAAATGCGAATGGGAAATTATAATCACTCTTGGAAAAAACACTGGTAAATTAATTCGCTTTTACATTTTATGGAAGGAAGTGAAAGTAACAAATTAAACGGTCTAAATAGTTTACGACACACGCGTCTTCTAGATTAGAATACGTAATAAAACCGTATAGTTTGTCGCTAGACTCCTTATGCATTATTTGTTCGTTAATGAAGGGTGCGAAAAAACAAACTGAGTAAAGCAAGTCTAGCTAGCAGATCTAACATTTCCCACTTAAGTTTCAACTTAATTTAAATTCAAATTCCAAAAAAATTGTTTTGGTATTAGTCTGCATTTAATTTTTATCAAACTCCAATAATTCCTTTTTGTCAGTGAGCAATGTATAATTATGCAGTTGTTGGCAAGTTGTACAAGACACAAGCAGTATGCTTGGGATTTTGTTTGTTTGTTTGATGGATGGATTGTCGAATTGTCATATGATAAAAGTGCATTTTTTACTAGCCATATTGCTATTAGAATAAAAGAATTCTACCTGCAATTTCAAATCTTGCTAAGATTTTTGAAAAATTATTTAAGTCAGGTTATTCAACTTCCTTAATAAACACAAGATATTAAATTTAAGGCAATTTGGTTTCCTCAAGAAGAAAAGCACAGATGATGTAGCTTTACTTAGCAAATTTGTCTATGAAAACTTCAGTTTTAGCCTACCAACAGTTGTGACTTTTTTAGACCACACAAAAGTATTTGATACAGTTGACCTCGCTATACTAGTGCAGAATATGGGAATAAGGGGTGCAAGTGTGAACTGAAGTTATCTGAAAGACAAATGTAAGGGTAACTGGTATTAAAAGTCAGCACGTTAAAACAAATGTTGCAATGCCTCAGGGCTCAATACTTGAACCAATATTGTTCATCTTATATATAAATGGCTTATTGGTTTTCTTAAGATACCTTATGCTGATGCTATTGCAATACCAATGAAAGCAAAAGCATGAACTTTGGATATTGTATACTCCTGGCTCTATCACTGGTACTCAATGCAGACAAGTCTTACCAAGAGTTACCAGTGGTAATACCTACCGAATTAGCAGACATTTTACACTTACAGGTCTAGAAATCAGTCTTCTAAGATCACTCAATTACATTAAAGAGCAAAATAAGAAAATATTGGCAATTTTCTACTTCTCAGTTTTGCTGTTATAGTACATTCATATAGCCAAATTTGCTACAGAATTGGCTCATAATTTATTGAAGAATTTTGTAAAACATTGTCATCATTCATATGGGCCAGAGTTTCTAACATTCTAACATTCATCTTCTGATTCACCTAGGAGATGTTGATAAGTATGGTCCCTTGGATAATTTTTCAGCTTTTCCCAAACAGTATAAAAAACTCCTTATTTCTTTTCTTTTCTCAAGCAGATTAGTTTGGAATGATTGATAATAAAATTAATGAAATTCATAATATCTTAAAGAGGAATGACGGCTCTATTTTTATTGTGGAGAAAGCGTTTTCTGAAGTGCAAAATCAATTTACCTATCCATTAAATTCAGTTGATTTGTATATAGGTGTTCTAGGTAATTTATCTCAACAATTTTGTTCTTGGCATGCCTACAAATTACAATGTAAATGTATTATCCTTCCTTTGCAAGATAAGAGGAGTCGTTGCTTACCTAGTCCTCCACAGCTTTTTTAATATGTCTAAAAATATTTTCCAAGCGCCGTTTACATACAGACAAGTTTGACGCACACATAACATCTGTTCCAATAATCGAAAGTCCTGTTATTTATAAAATACGGGCGATGTGAAGTCCTGAATTGTTCCTTTCTTATTTTAAATGGATGACCACGTAGGTGTTCATCATGGCTCAAGACCACAAAAGGCACGTCAGATGGAAATTGGTCATGCGCAAACCTACACATTTAAATGATATCCTACGCTGACTTAATGTTGGCAGACTAAGTATTTTGAGACGGTCATCGTAACGTGTATTTGAAGTGACCAGCAAATACGCTTGAGGTCCTATAAAATTATCTCCTTTAATCCCTGCTCATACATTTAAAGAAACCTGGCGCTGATGTTTTCCTTTTTTGCATGTAGGTTTTCAATGTTCCTCTGATGTATGTTTCGAAAATGTGTACAGTGAACAAAATGAGATTTAAGAATTGCAGGTAACTTTGAATCCCTAAAATTTCATTGCATAAAATTACTCTCCATTGCTCATCATCGTCATACACTGCTTTGACTCTTTGAACATGAAAGGGCTAGAGATCATTTTCATATCATTTTCATGTCATTTGCATCTGCAAAGACATTCATCACCCTACACAGAAGACTTGGTGAAAGAGGATTATTCAAACCTGATAATATAAATAAAGGGAGACCAAGGTATAAAAGAACCGCTGTAAGAGAAGAAAAAATACTTCAAAATGTGGCGGCTGGTCTACAGTTTGAGAAGTTTTGCATGAAAATGATTATCGACCTTATCAAAGGGTTCGACCACTATAGAATACTTTTATGCAATCAATCAAAATAGAACAGATTGCCTTAAGCAGAATCACAAATCCTCAAAAATTGTTACTCTTGTTTTAAGTCGATAAGTGTTATCCTTCAGCCACAGATCGATTTTTTATTCTAGGCTCCAATTTTACCCATAAATGTGATTTTACCCAACAGGAATTAATGACATTTGAAAAAGTCATTGTCGCAATCCGTTAAAAATTAGTTTCTATTAAAAAAATTTATTATCCAACTGCTACTGTGATGGCCCATCAGGAATATTGAAATATCACGATATGCATTTTTGCTACGGAAGGGCAATTGGAAATGCAAACCAAGCACGACGGCTTTATTTCAAATTTTAGGAAAATTTCAAAATAACTGCTGCTG